AGTTCACTGCTTTAAGATCAAGAGCCATTCGTCTGCAGTTTGATTTCCATGTGGATTCAAATTTCCGCAGCAGTCAAAAATGAGATGTCTGGATTTTGATAGGGCGTATACATACACACACGCACACAAGTGCATATTTGCCTGCAACTGGGGACCCCCTATTGTTCCTCTTTTGTTTCTACTTTAACTTTTTTACAAGACCACCCATATGTTTTGTACAAAGTTGTCAATTGGGGACCCTCTGTCAATGGGGACCTTATTGTCCTCTATTGTTCAAGGTCCCCAATTGAATGCAGAAACAAACTCACCCACACACCTTGATATGAGTGCGTTTCTTACAAGTTGACTTTAACTGCATTGCACTACAATGACGTCAAATTGCCTGACTAAAAGGCACAAACAAAAACGTTCCGTTCTCATTCATACGGTTTCCTTCTTGCATAATGATTTCTCATTAGAGCATTCATGATGTTCCTCACCATTTACAAAGAGAGAAACATCAGGGAAAACCTGACAAAACTGAGAAAATCCCCTCTAAAATGTTGGCTTCACTTCCACCTTCTGACTTTGTTGTTTTGGAGGAAAGTGACAAAGACGGGCAAAAATTTGGCAGAAATGGATTTTTATAGTGTGCAAGTTAGCAAAAGGGGCTTTACGTATTAAATTCTAAGATGGAAAGCTTGCGGTAAACACCATGCAATATCTCTTTTTTTGAGTATGTGTGGTTCTGATAAGAACCGGAGAGGCTCAACGTTTCGGACAGTGTGCTCTGTCTGTCGTCAGGAGACTGAAGAGATGCTGACAGGGAGTGGGGCTTATATGCTGGTTGGAGGTACTGGAGTGTGACAGATCTTGCTGTGTAGTCAGGTGGAACGGTGGATCCTCCTGGGTACTGATGCATGTCAGTTGGTCATGGGCTGTGGTGGGGGAAGGTTCCCTGGGTATAGGAGACCCATGGGTGGGGGGGGGCTAGGGTATAGAGGACCCATCAGACCGGGAGGTGAGCGGGGCTGCCAGATGTCGCTGATGGAGAAGCCGATGTCTTGAGGTACGGTGGGGTGCCTGGAGATTTCCAAGGCTTCTCTAATGCGTCTTGGGTACCACTGTTCAATGTTGGCGATGAGGTGGGCTTCTTCCCAGTTGATGGTGTGGTCTTCGGCGTGGGAATGCTTGATGATGGCTGACTTCTCATATTCCCCTTTCTGCCATGGGCTCTGTGTTCCTCGATCCTGGTAGAAAGGTCCCTACCAGTCTCTCCAATGTAC